TTGGAGGAAAGGATGAATGGGGCAGAGCAGGGGTGGGACTACAGGGAAGGAGTGGAATGGGGGTGGGGCCTGAGACCCCCCCAGCTAGAGAGGAAGTCAGTACCTATGGCAGTACTCTCTGTGGGGCAATGGCCATGATCTTGCTCTGTGTTTGCACAGCACCTTACACAATGGGACCCGCTCCATGATTAGAGCCCTCTAGAGACTACACCAGTACAAATAATAATAACAGCGATGTCATGCAATGTCCTCATTATTATACAGAAGGGGATTCATGAGACAGCAGCTGCAGGGACCAGGTGGTTGTTATAAAGACAAAACAAGTACCGTACCTCAGGATCTTTCCATAGGTTGGGGTCTCTGTGAATAAGATAGAAGTTTAGTCCAACCAGAGTACCTGCAAAACAACAGAAGGGACACAAAGTTCAGGGAAAAGACAGGTCTTAGACGTAGCTTCTCGGCTTGGTCTGTGTTTTCTGAGGTCCGACATGTTCTCATAACCACAGAAGCTAGCATTTTTATGACCACCATTTTCAGGCCACCCATCCCAATGCAATTGCTCAGTGGGACGGTACCTTCCCCCACTTGCTATGATCTAGGAGTAACAATAACTAGGCCTTCCCTAGAGCTTCTCAACGGTAGATCTCAATGTACTATACAAAGAAGGGCAGATGAGGAAACTGAGGCATGGGGAAGGGACTTGCCCTAGATCACCCAGCGAAGCCAGGAATAGAACCCAGACCTTATGAGTCCCACTCCAGGACTTTAGCCTCTGCCTCTGGGTTGCTTTGTGGCAATTAGAGCCAACATGCTCAAGATGAGCACTGAGCAGTGTTGGCTTGGAGAAGGAGATGGGAAGCCGCATGAGCTGCTGTGTGCACAAATGCTGTGACCTCTAACCCCCATCTGCTCTGAGTGCCGGGACCCAATCCCTAGCCACGAGAGTGGCCTGTTCAACTACAGAGCCGTGCTCCAACGTAAGCAGCCGTACCTTGGGGCCAATGCAAAGCTCACTGAAGTAAATGGGAAGATCCCCATTGGTGGGAATGGAGGAGGGCTTTAGTTACTAAGGAGCCTTGGGGGGTTCCATGACAGGAAACCTGCTGGAAGTCCACGGCTCACAGCTGGCTCTGAGACGGAATCGCGTGGTCGCCTCTAGGCATCCCTCAGCACTAGTCAGGACAATGCTGGGAGGACCCTGCTCCTTTGCCATGGCTCCTCATCTCCACCAAAGGGAAGGTGAGTGGGACTCCACAGCGGAGAGTCAACCACTCAGAAGCTCCATTTTGCACCAATCATTGGGGGTAGGCAGAGCTCCTAGGCTCAGAGATTTTACATAAGAACATAAGAACGGCCGTACTGGGTCAGACTAAAGGTCCATCTAGCCCAGTAGCCTGTCTGCCAACAGTGGCCAGCACCAGGTGCCCCAGAGAAGGTGGACCGAAGACAATGATCAAGCGATTTGTCTCCTGCCATCCTTCTCCAGCCTCTGACAAACAGAGGCCAGGGACACCATTTCTATCCCCTGGCTAATAGCCTTTTATGGACCTAACCTCCATGAAATTATCTAGCTTCTCTTTAAACTCTGTTCTAGTCCTAACCTTCACAGCCTCCTCTGGCAAGGAGTTCCACAGGTTGACTACACGCTGTGTGAAGAACTTTCTTTTATTAGTTTTAAACCTGCTACCCATTAATTTCATTTGGTGTCCTCTAGTTCTTCTATTATGGGAACTAATAAATAACTTTTCTTTATCCGCCATCTCCCTGGGACAGTTGGGATCAGGGAAGACTAGACCACAGCACCACCATGAACATCTCCAACCTTGCTGACCATGAAAGCAGCAATTTTATCCCCTTCATTCCTTGCTCTAGGAGGTTGGCTGCATAGGAACATAAGAACGGGCATACTGGGTCAAACCAAAGGTCCCTCTAGGTCAGTCTCCTGTCTTCCAACAGTGACCAGTACCAGGTGTCCCCAGAGGGAGAGAACAGAACAGGTAACCCTACGACAGGTAATCCTGCCACCCGACAGCTGCCGTAGTCTACGTGTAGAGGGGCAGGAAGGGTAGGATCTTTGGATGTCGATAGCGTAGGAAGTTCATGAACATACTCGGCCCTGGTGAGGCTGCATCTGGAGTATTGCGTCCAGTTCTGGGCTCCACACTATACAAAGGATATGGAGGCAACCAAAACGATCGGGGGATGGAGCACATGACCTATGAGAAGAAGCCGAGGGATTTGGTCTTATTTAGTCTGCAGAAGAGAAGAGCGAGGGGGGATTTGAGAGCAACATTTAACTCTCTGAAGGGAGGTACCAAAGGGGATGGAGAGAGGCTGTTCTCAGTGGTGACCGATGGCAGAACAAGGAGCAATGGTCTCAAGTTGCAGTGGGGGAGGTCTAGGTTGGATATTAGGAAAAACTATTTAACTAGGAGTGTGATGAAGCACTGGGATGGTTCCCTAGGGAGGGGGTGGAATCTCCATCCCTAGAGGTGTTTAAGGCCCGGCTTGACAAAGCCTTGGCTGGGATGATTGAGTTGGGTTGGTCCTGCTTTGGGCAGGGGGCTGAACTTGATGACTTCTGAGGTCTCTTCTATCCCTGGGGTTCTATGATTCTATACCCTCCTTTCAGCTCCTCTGCAGCTCCCCACCACAGTGTAATAGGAAGGGAGAGGAGAAGGGAAGCCTATAAAATCTTGCAATTAACATGATGCGGTCACCAGGGGTGGAAGAGACATTCAAGGCTGAGGCTAGTAAGTGGACCCATCTCCTAGGGCTGGTCGGCTCAGCTACAAAAGTAATGTGGGCAGATGGACTAGGTAACCCAACAGAGGACACTTTAAGACCAAATAACATCAGCATTCTCCATGGCCCATTTAGGCTACATCTAGACTACCAAGCCTGTTTCGAAAAAGAGCGTCTAGACTACAACCAGTACCTTGGAAAAAGCAAACCGCTTTTTCGAAAGAGAGCACCCAGTGCGCCCCATCCCTGCCCCTCTCTCTTCTACCCAGAGCATCCTTAATGCCACAAATCAGCTGTTTGCGGCCCTCTGGAAGCATTGCAAGAGTGGGAGAGGAGTTAGTAAGTTCGAAAAACATTACATAGCACCTTTTTTCGAAAGGTCACTTTTGAAAAAAGGCGTTCTTCCTCGTAAAATGAGGTTTTCTGTGGTCGAAAAAACTGCCGCGTTCTTTTGATTTACTTTCGAAAGAACACGGCAGCAGTCTAGCTGCAGGGGACGTTTTTTTGAAAAAAGGCCATATTTTTCGAAAAAAAACCCTGTAGTCTAGACACAGCCTTAGTGAGCCCGGAGCTGGCATGGAGAAGCCATTTGTAACCCTCCAGCACCAGCAAGACAGGGCGCAGACTCCAGACAGTTTGCTTCAGAAGTGTTTGTCCTTTCAACTGATGTGTGCACTTTGCATAAGGTCTAATGGAAAGAAAGAAATAGGGAAAAACCCAACCTGCGGGTAAATATCGTCCGTCGTAAAACGTGATGGGTTTGCTGAGCTGGCGGCCCACAAAAGGCACCGGCGGGTAAATGCGCATAGTCTCCTTGATGCACATGGTGGTGTAAGGCATCTTTCCGAGGTCATCCCTGCAAGCGAGAGAAATTGAGTGACACACCCCTCTTGAAGTGATAATACCGACAGGCAAGATCTGTGCTGGGATTCCATGCTACAAGATCTTCACTCCATGTCCGGCTACGGACCATATTGTTCTGCCTGGAATGATCATTTTCACTTGGCCTCCTTCGCTGGCTTTTCCACTAGGGTTGCCAGGAGTCCGGTATCTGCAGCCTCTGTCCGGTAAAAAAAAACAGAAAATACTGGACATGTAAAATGTTCGGTATTTTCTGTTTTTCTCGGATGGAAGGCCACCTGGGACATTCTTCCCTTGCCGCATCTGGAGGGGGCAGGAGTAGCGGGAAGTGTGGACCGCTGGGATTTAAAGATGTAGTGACCCTTTTTTTGTGCTATTTTTTTGCTCAACAAGTTTGGTCCTTTTTTTTTTGCTCAACCAATTTTTTTCCCCTCCGTGTTTGGTATTTTTTGTGAACGTATCTGGCAACCCTATTTTCCACTGACAACTTCTCCCTTTGGTTTCTGTTTTTTAAGCCTATAAAACACAGTTTCCTTTTCTCTTAGGTGATGAAAAACCATCAGAAAGGAAGTCAGGTGATTCACGAGCTACATAAACTCCCCCCAAAGACACATGGGGAAGCCTGAGCAAACACATCATTTATCAAAAGAATTAACTGTTGGCGTGAATAATATTCCTGAAAGGCTCTCCCGAGATTCTCATTTTCTACCCTTTGGTGGTGAGTTGTCACTACAGAGCTAGCATGGACCAGCATAGTATGGAGGGAGCATCCCTAATGAAAAGGGCTACACACACCAGACTCGTGTAACTGTGTCTACAAGACTCTGTGTTGGTTTGGGTTCTTGGTGGCTCTTCCATGGCTTTGAGCAGTGCATTAAACAGGGCTATCTGAATTCATTTCCAGCGGGTGCACTCTCTCCGACCTAGCATGGAGCTACAGTATGTGGATGCGCCATGAGAATGATCCAAGTGGTAAGGAACCTCCAAAGGAAGTGCTCATGGGTAACAGAGGCACTTTAGAAGGGGAAAGCAAAGAGCATTTAACAGCCAGGACTTTTCAAGAACATGCCGAGATTAAATCTGCCAACCACCACACAAGCTGGAATGTCTCCTCTGACATCTCAGCTGCTGCATTTCTCCTGGTCGCTAGGCATAAAGGTGTCGCTGTTAGCTGCATTTCTCCAGCATCTGGGCTTTACCAATATCCCACCAACGCTTCACCAGAAGGCTGGGGCCCGCTTCTGGCCAAACAATTACCCAGGCAGGAGGATTTCTTGGACAGCATCTGTGTTTGAATGTGGTGGAAGCCGAGCAGAAATGGTGCAGGAAAACATAGGGTTAAAAGGCCGTGTAGAAAAAGGAAGGGGTTGGACAAGAAAGGGGAAAGCTCAGGAACAATTAGAGAGGGAGATTGGAAGACTTACATCACTCATACTTGATGACCTGTGTTCTCACTGGAAAATAGGTGGATAGTCAAGCCCAAAGCAAAACATGAGCCCATGCCTATACCTTCAGCTGTGCCTGCTAGCTCAGGCTCGGAGTATTCTGTGAGGGTAGGGGACTGGATTACCTCTCAAGCTCCCTTCCAGTCCTAGTGTTCTATGATTCTGTACAATCTGTGCTCAGCTCAGTCCAGGTAGTTTAGTCTGAGAGTGACTCTAATTAAAGAGCGCTACAAAATTGTGCTTGCCTTTGACAGCCGCAGTTTTTGATGGACAAATAAAATAAGGTTTCATTTTCTCATTACCATCCAAGGGTATCATACAAATAAGAGTGACACCAGCTACTTAAGTATCGGGGGGTATGTCTACACTACTCTCCTAGTTCGAACTAGGAGGGCAATGTAGGCATACCGCACTTGCAAATGAAGCCCGGGATTTGAATTTCCCGGGCTTCATTTGCATAAGCGGGGAGCCACCATTTTTAAAACCCCGCTGGTTCGAACCCCATGGAACGAGGTGTACCGGTAGTTCGGAATAGGAAGCCTAGTCCGAACTATCTAGTTCATGCCCCGTATAGCCGCGCTGCACGGGGTTCGAACCAGCGGGGTTTTAAAAATGGTGGCTCCCCGCTTATGCAAATGAAGCCCGGGAAATTCAAATCCCGGGCTTCATTTGCAAGTGCGGTATGCCTACATTACCCTCCTAGTTCGAACTAGGAGGGTAGTGTAGACATACCCCTGGATGGATGGCATGAGATACAATTTCACACTGATGCAGGCAGAGTTTCATGACAGTTTTGCAACCTTGAGTTGAAGGGTAGCCATTGCTTATTTCCAGTGGCTCTGGAAGTCACATTTGGCACCATTAACTGGCTTGTTTACATGTCCGTTTCATCACTGCTTGTGCCAGCCACAGCATTAGCCAAATGCCCCTGCAGAGCCAGCCAGTGAAGAACAAGAGTGTGAAGCTTTTAGGGGGGTCCACAAATGTAATATCTATTTGTGTTTAATGCAGGGAGTTGTTGGATTTTTAAATATATAAGTAAGTCAGAACTAGCAGAACCCTTGGGTCTTTGACAGTCTCTTTTTATATATAAAACATGAAATGTTCTTGCAAGCATTCATGTTAAAAACAATGAAAATCCTGTTCAAAACTCTGAGCCAAAGACCACGAGAAAGACTTTTTTGGATTATTACTGGGCTTTGGATCAGGCCCCAACTAAATATAAGGGCAATACTGCATTGTCTGACACCCTGAAATAAAAGGATTTCTTGGTTTCCAGTAAAACTCAAGGGCTATGTCTAGACTGCATCCCTCTGTCGACAGAGGGATGCAAATCAAGCACTTAGAAAGTGAAAATGAAGCCTTGATTTAAATATTCCGTGCTTCATTTGAATAAACATGGCCACCACTTTTTTTCAAAACGGAGGGGTTTTTTTAAAAAAAAACCCAACAGTCTAGACATGATCTGTCAAAAATACAACTCTTTTTCGAAAGAGCTCTTATCCCTCATAAAATGAGGTTTACAGAATCTTTCAAAAAAGGGTTGTATTTTTGAAAGATCGCGTCTAGACTGCCGGGTTTTTTTCGAAAAAACTCCATTTAAAAAAAAAGCGGAGGCCATGTTTATGCTAATGAAGCATGGGATAGTTAAATCCCTGCTTCATTAGCAATTTTGATGTGCCTAATCTACATCTCTCTGTCGACAGAGAGGTGAAGTCTAGACACACCCAAGAATATCTTAATTCACCAGAAATAACCCTGAAGGAAACTGTCATGAAATAAAATATGAGTTCTCACCACTCAATAGTCTCCCGGTCTCCCAGAAGCTCTCGGATCTCTTCTCGGCATTTCTGCTGGTGCTCTGGGTTCAGGGATAGACAGTATAAAGTCCAGGAGATCCCACTGGCTGTGGTATCATGACCCCCAAACATGAAAGTGTCCACCTCAGCGCGCATGTCTTCATCAGATAATCCCACTCCATTTTCATCCTAATTCGACAGGGATCAAAGGACGCTGTTAGTCCAGAGACTGACTTTGGATTCATGGCTACTGCTGCACCACCCTGCAACCGATGTTGTCCTTGGCAAACATTAAGCAGACCTACCGCCAGCCCCACTCATGCTGGAAGATTTCAAATGTTGTTTTTTCTCCATTCCCCCCCCCCTCCCCCCGGAGCTCCTGAAATCTCTTTATGACTTCAGGTCTCCTGCAATATGGTTCACGTCGAGACCTGTGCACAGGCTGGGATAGCCAGTACAACTGGCTCATTTTCATCCACATTTTCTCTGGGAAATGAGGAGTTTTCATCCAACTCTGAACTAAAAGATTTTGGCTGAGAAGAGGCACCACAGTGCTTCGTGGGAGTTGTAATTGGCACCCTTTGTCCCCATTCTCCTGGGACAGTATCCTGGGACAGGGGGTATCAGTCCTCTACTGGTGATGCAACAGCTAACAAATGGCTTTGGCCCAAGAGGCCACACCCCCTCCCTTTTCTGGGCATGCTCCTCCAATGGAGGAGGCCTATAAAAGGGACGAGTTTGGCTCAGTCCGGGCTGGCTGAGGAGCAGAGCAGATGTGTGCCACGCACTGCTGCCAAGAAGCCACCAGGACTCCAAACCATGGAGATGGACCACTCAGGGAAGCCAGTCGCCCACTGGGCCCAAAGGGGATGACACACCACAACCAGCAGAGGGACTTCCAGAGACAGAATAAGGGGTCGGAAATAGTCCAAGGGAGGCACTTGGGAATATGAACAGTGGAACACTATTCTTTTGAAGGGCTCTGAGTTAGAACTTGATGGAGTAAGGTGGATCCAGATCCCTCAGCCCTTCCTGCACTCACCATGAGGGGGTGACTCTGTTGCTAGGGAAAGCATCATTTTCCAAAGTGTGCAGTCAAAACAGGCACATGCCTGGGCTAAAAATAGGAAGCACAGATGCCTCAAATGAAGAAGACAGCTTGCTCAGAAACACAAGACAGGAACTGCCAACTCAGATGAATGATGATGAAATCACGCATCAACCATCCCCGCGTAAACGCACAACAGGGACAGGACCCCAAGTGGAGCTTGCGCTAGGAAATGAAGTAGCATTGTAGAAAGAATGTGTCAATCTTGACAAGCCAGATCCAGCTTGCAGGCCGTATCATGCCCACCTCTGACTTAAAGGCTGCATTTGAACGCCAGAGACCATGCCCTCTCTTTGCTTTGTAAGAAAATGGAAGAACTGCTGGGTTTCCTTGAGACACATACTCCGTTTTCAGAGGAGACCACTCAAGGGCTTCTCAGGGCTGAAAATATCAGCAATGTAACAATTAATCAACGTATCAAGTTGGTACCCTGTTTCCGTCAGCTGTTGACAACTCCGCTGAAAAGCTGAAGAAGTGTATCAGTGATTCTCAGAGTGGTCAGCCCGGAATGAAGTTCCTGAAGTGTGCAGGGAATTTTCTACCCCAAAAGAGATCCCGTAATGTCTCATGTAAAAGAGGCTTGCGTTTCAGTTCCTGGCTTCGGTGACATTTCAGCAAAGGAGTTTGCTTTGTACACCAGGAAGACTGATTTCAACAAGTCCCAGGTCATTCTGCAGGCAGGGGAAATGGATATTGACGTATTTAGGTCAATAATAGCTACATTCTGTATCAAACACACCTGACACTAACTACGGCTACAGTGCCATTTTTTTTTGTGGAAGAGGATATGCAAATTGTACTCTCCTGTAAAACTCAATTTTTGAGGAATACGGGTCTTGCAAAAAAGGGGGCGTTTCTGACAAACAGTCCCGTCTACACCGGGCTTTTTATTGGCAAAACCTCTTCTGCAAAAAGAATCGGAAGACGGTATGCAAATGAGAGCATGATTTGCATATCCTCGTCAACACAAAAATAAGTGCAGCAACTTGCTGTACTGAAAGCAACTGAAACACTTGGTGTTCCTTTATTTCAATCTTGGAATTTAAAAATACTTTATATTAAAAAACAGTTGGATTTGTTTTATTGATGCTTTATTTTATTTTATTTTATTTTATTTTATTTTATTTTATTTTATTTACTTACTGTGCTTTGATAAATAGTATGAAAGAAGAACCCAATATAACTGCACAATAATACTGTTACACTGCACAGTACTTGAGATATTGCAGGAACTCAAAGCATTCTTTTAAGTTTTTTGTGCGTGTTTGTTTTTCACTCAGACTCTGAAAAGGTGTGAGCATCTAATTTACTTTGATAAAAATTATAAAAACTAATCTCAGTTTAACAAATCCTTACTTAACAATTTTTAGTTTTATTTAAAAAAATCACATCGCCTGCTCATTCTTTTTTGAAGAAGGAATAATAACACACAACAGTAGATTCTGTGATAAAATGGGCTATACATACTGGATAAATACAACATGCCTGCATATATTTCTAAAGAGGGTTCAAATAGTGTTACATTTCATTGAATGTGTAAACATATAAAGGCACTTAATTTTGTATCATTTTGATTTTTGTTCTGTGCATCATTCCCTAGAATGTAGCCAAGAAGGCCGAGGTGTTTAATGCCCTTTTTGTTTCAGTTTTCAGTCAAAAAGTGAACTGTGATGAGAAGCTTAACACAACTGATGTTAAGAACAAGGGGATAGGAGCAAATGCCAGAATACGGAAAGATCAGATTAAGGACAATTTAGGTAAGTGAGATACATTCAAGATGGCAAGGCTTGTGGATCAGAAATGGAATATGAGCTAGCTATGTGCAACAGTTGTTAAAAAGACTAGTGTCACTCTAGGGTGTACTAATAAGCATGCCATATGTAAAAAAGAAGATTAAGGGGGGACATGATAGCGGTTTTCAAATATCTAAAAGGGTGTCACAAGGAGGAAGGAGAAAATTTGTTCCTCTTGGTTTCTGAGGACAGGACAAGGAGTAATGGGCTTAAAGTGCAGCAGGGGAGGTTTAGATTGGACATTAGGAAAAAATTCCTAACTGTCAGGGTGGTCAAATATTGGAATAAATTGCCAAGGGAGGTGGTGGAATCTCCCTCTCTGGAGATATTTAAGAACAGGTTAGATAGACATCTGTCAGGGATGGTGTAGACGGAGCTTGATCCTGCCTTGAGGGCGGGGGGCTGGACTCGATGACCTCTCGAGGTCCCTTCCAGTCCTATTATTCTATGATTCTATGATTCTAAGACATAGGAGGTAATTGTTCCACTCTACACAGCAACAGTGAACAATGTTTCCTCTAATTTTTTTTCCATTCATATGCAGAATAAATTTTGTTGTATGCACTGGAGCATGTGCAGATGTGCACTAGCAGCAGAAACAGGGGCTAACCCTGGTGAACTGCATCTGGACTATGGGCCACCTATTGTCCACCCATGGGTGGCAAGTGAAGGTGGGGAAGACAAGCCTGAGCCCCGCCCTTTCTGCCTGAGGCCCCGCCCCTTCAGCAACCTCCTCTCTCCTGCAGCCAAGCCCCGCCCAGCCCTAGCCTGATCCTTCCCAGGTAGCTGGGGCATGTAGGCTGTTGTGCCCATGTGCCCACCCCAGCTTTACAGTGACACCACCTGTCACTGGGCTGGATTGCACCCCAGAATGTGACACATCCTCTCAGAAAAAAAAAATGTTTGCACAAAAGAAAAAACACCATGATCGGTTTTGAGAATGGTGGTATGAAGTTTCACTAGTTACTACCTGGTCTTGGATTCAAGGCTGAAACTGAAGAAAACCAGTGACTGTAATATACAAGAAAGAAGTTGGAGCACAGTCAATTTTGAAACAGTGATTGTCCAGATCCCACCTGGTCATCAAGTAAAAGTATCCAGTATGCACGTTCTGGTTGATAACACACAACTGGATGATCTGGCAAAAGCAGAAAGTATATGGGAATGAGATACAAACACTGGCACTTTATCTTCAGGAATAGGATAATGGACCACCCTTTGAGAGTTCCTGGACGCTGCCAAAATATGTGACTTTGAAGCCCTAGACAGCCCTAAACAAAGGGAATTGAAAGATATGGAGTCCTTAAAGAACTTATTCCAGAAATTAACCGGGGCCAGAGAAAATTCACTTTTAGCCCAGCTCAACTACAGAGCTATACCGCTAGAAAATGGAAACATCAATGTGAGATGTAATATTTTGTCTAACAGACTTACACACGCTTATTCACAAGACATGAGAAATAAAGCAAGGTCCCTCTGTATCTACCTTGGCACACAAGAGAATATCCAGGAAGTCCAAGTGTCTCTTCTTCTTGATCTTTTCAAGTTCTCGCTCATCTTTGAGGGATTTCTTCCTCTCCTTAATCACTTTTTCTGTTTCAGAAAAATAAAATAAAATCAATTTTTAAAAAGATAAAAAATATATATTTCAAGACTCTGGATTTTTCTGCTAGCTCTATCCACAGAGTCCAGGGCCATCATTCAACATGTGAAGTCTTTTTGGCCCAATTAGCCTCCATGCTAATGATGATAGGAGTCACTCTGAGTAGGTGCCAGAGGATGTAGGGCAGAAAAGCAGAAACCTTTTTTGAAATATGGTGCATCTACACCGTGCCATCCCTTACTCCTCATAGAATAAGGTTTACAGGGATGGCAAAATAGCACGTCTGCTATATTTTGAAATAGCAGACATGTTCAAAAGACGTGAGGGAGCTATTTTGGGATACCTCTGGTATCCCAAAATAGAACTGCAGTGTAGACATACCCCATGACTCTCAATATAGTGACAAAAGCAGATGTTTGATTGGAAATCAGTGTCCAGGACTGGATCAGTATTGATAGCCCTGCTACAATGCATGGACCATGTAAACACATTCCGGCAGGACAGTACTAGAACGCCCCAAACTAGCCCACAATAAAAAGATTTGACACAAGTGATGAAGAGTGATATTTTGTCTGAAATGCCAGGAGGAAAGTCCCAGGGGAGGTAACCCACATGTCATGAAAGGCGTAAGAGGATACGGAGGGTGTGTATCCCAGATTGTTTGCCTCAGTCTATACATTTTGGGGTACCTCACCATAACTCTTTGTCTGGCCTAGAGAGCAGTGAAAAGTCCCACCACGGACTGAGCTGACACCATTGTCGGGGATATTCATGTACCAGCAGACCTGTAGGAGCTACAGACCATGCTTTGACAATTAACCTAGCTGCGTGTCTTCATCCCTTATCTTATTTTGTGATCCCAGGGGGTTCTCTCAGGGTCTGCTGGGCCAGCTATCTGTGCAGAGCCAGGGCAGCATACAGAGGGAGCACATGCATGCAGCCGAAAGGCTATCAACATTTGACCGAGCAAAACATCTGACAAGACACCACATCGGTGACATCTGACAACAATTAGAAGCTGGAGGATGGTCAGTCCTCAAATTCTGCCCACATAGGTCATGACTGGAAGGTGCCATCTGGTATCCACATAACACCTTTGATGACAGTCTTATCAAAGAAGCCACACTTGATGTGTTTATGAAGAGTGCACCTCTAACGCCCCAGAAGAGAGGTGAGGCCCATTGACAGTGCAATACATGGGAACCTTGCCCAACAATATGTCTAGATCAATAGAAGACTTTGGTCTCCGTGGGTGCGTCCACACAGCACCCGAAACTTGAAATAAGTTACGCAATTTGCGCTAAGCAAATCCTGAAATAGCATTGCAGGGTAGACATACCCCATGACTGTCAATATAGTGATAAGACGCCATTCCAGCTCTTGTGGAAGTCAACTGATAGCTTCTCATTGGCTTCAGTAGGAGTTCGATCTTCTCTACAGGACTGCTAACCCCTCTCCCCAAGTCTCAGAAAAAGGCAGCCAGAAGGGCCTTGGGAAATACCTGTTTGGAGATGCACAATGTCACAGGCCTTCTGGAAGCGGCGTCCATCACGACTGAGCCAATAGATGAAATCAAAATGGTATGGGAGGTACCACATCCTGTATTTTAACTGAAAGGTGATTTCATAGACAGATTTGATGTAGGCGTTCTCCCTGAAAGAAAAATTAGAGGAACTTACACAGCATAGTAAGGGCATTTAGCAAAGTATACAACTTTTCCGCCTAAGGTAGAGGTGTAACAGTCATCATTCAAAGCTGCAATACCGACACCTATGCCCTGACTCAGTGGCAGCAGAATCGCCAGATTACTCCCAAATAACTGAGCTCAGTTAGAGCTGAGAGGACTGACATTTTGGTTTGAAGGTGTTTCTAAAATATTTTTTTCAAAAATTCGCTTGGGTTAAACAGAATCCAAACTTTTCAATCAAAAAAGTCCATTGTGGGTCTCTTTTAGAAGCTGATTCAACCCAGAGATGCAGATATCCCAGGTGAGTGACTTAGTCACTGGGCTAAAATGTGTGAGAGGAAGGAGTCCAGCCTCCTGCCTTGAGGGCGGGGGGCTGGACTCGACCTCTCGAGGTCCCTTCCAGTCCTATGATTCTAAGGGCATAATAGGACTACCACCACCTCCTGCTCTTTTGTGACTGGTTGAAACTATGTGTCAAATTTGCAAATAGTTTTGAGTCGACCAAACTACTTTTTTGGGAACTAAGTTATTTGTCCAAAAAACTTTGCCCGGGTCTGTCCCGGTACTGAAATATTTGTCCAAAAAACTTTGCCCGGGTCTATCCCAGTACTGAAATACTTGTCCAGAAAACTGTGGCATATCCCAGTACTGAAATATTTGTCCAGAAAACTTTGCCTGGGTCTATGCCGGTACTGAAATACTTGTCCAGAAAACCGTGTTCAGGTCTATCCCGGTACTGAAATATTTGTCCAGAAAACTTTGTCCAGATCTATCCTAGTACTGAAATATTTGTCCAGAAAACTTTGTCAGGTCTACCCCTTGTACTGACCTGTCAGTCTGGCAGTTGCTCTCATGACTAAAAGCACATTTCAAGATGCTGTCGAGAGTCATCAAGCTGACATGTTCAAAGAGCTCCACCGATGTCTCCTGGGTAGCCAGCTTTTCCCATTTGTCCTAATGCAGGAAGTAGATGGAAACGAGATGGGACAGAAATGCTTTGCTAGGCGCTAGAGCGACAAAGTGAATGAGGTAATAGCTTTCATTGGACCAACTGCCATTGGTGAGAGAGGCAAGTCTGCAAGCTGACATGGAGCTGTTAATAGACCTAACACCAGGGGAAAGTGGGTTATTGACCCCTCAGGCGGATGATCGGTGGAATGATGGCATTTCTGCTTCTGACTGTGTAGGCTAACTCATTAGCCTGTTTCCAGTACATATTTTTGGATCTGTAGTTTTGCCATTCAACCTCCCCCTGCCCACCCCGTTGTCCCTATTACATGTGCATTTACCTTCTGCAGATTTAAAACTTAAACTATCCCTGTGAAATGTGGAAGAGGGAGATCCCGTTGCTCTGTTAATCAAATATGAGCAAAGCTAACTTGATGTAGCATGAAGTGGAAGGGTTTATAGTCAAAATATAAATGAGATCTGTATTTGTACCTGATACATAGTGGGGAGGGCAGAATTATTTCTCTCTTTCCCATCTCTAATACAAATCAAATGTATGGATTATTCAACTACAGCCTCTTTAGACTTCAAATTCCTTGGCATTCAGCTCAGGGGTGGTGCAATTGTAACCATCACCAGGTGGATTTGAACCTGGGATCTCTAAAGCGGAGTACAGGAGCCTCTACCCTCTGAGCTAAAAGCCAGCTGGCTTCCAGCCCATGCTATAGAGGTCTCTTGGGCTTAGCAGTAGCTGTGGTCTAAGTGCCACTGCATGGTAACCACACTAGGGCTATGTCTACACTCGTGGCTTCTTGCACGAGTAATATGCAAATGAGGCTAAGCGTGGAATATCGCCGAGCCTCATTTGCATACCTAATGAGCCACCATTTTTTTCAGAAGAGGCTCTTGTGCAAGGAGCGTCTACACTGCCCCTTCTTGCGCAAGAAAAACCCTCTTGCGCAACGCCGTTCTTCCTGAAAAGTAATAGGTGTAACGGCATTGCGCAAGAGGGTAGACATAGCCTAGCTGTGTGGGTTACGCAATGGCATGTTCACCCCACACCAGAAAGGAAGGGGTTAAAAGCAGCCTGCTGTGCAAGAAGCAGCCAATCAGAAAGAGGCTGCACAAAGCAGCCAATCAGGACTCAGCAAGCTCACATAAAAGGTGCGACAAGGCCAGAGACAGTCCACTGCTTCAGAGTGCCCAAGGAGAGACGATTGTGTTCCTGTTGGAAGGTAGCATTGTGACCAGAGCAGGTGTTGGGGAGGAATAGCTCAGTGGTGTGAGGCCTGCTAAACCCAGTGTAGTGAGCTCAATTCTTGAGGGGGCCATTTAGGGATCTGGGGCAAATCTGTCAGGGAGGGTGCTTGGTCCTGCTGTGAGGGCAGGGAACTGGACTAGATGACCTCTCAAGGTCCCTTCCAGCTCTATGAGTTAGGTATATCTCCATATATTTAGTTGTTACCAGGGAACATCTGGCTGGATGCTGGCTCGTGGTCCGGTGAAGAAGGTGCTGGGACCACAGGGAAATGGTCCAAAGAAGCTGTATTGATGGGGGAGTTAAGAAAAGGCAGCAGGAGGCTTCTATTGACAAAGTTTCTAGGCTGGACTTGATACATTCTCAAGGTCCCTTCCAGTTCTAGTGTTCTATGATCCTCTCTCCCACCGGGTGTGGGAAAAACAGGATCGCCTGCATTGCCCTCAACATGCCATAACACTTGCATCTCTGTATGAAAAGAATGACTATAATCCAATCTGATGCTTCAGGGCTTCCGTCATTTGCCTGCAGGGGTCAGGAAGGAATGTTTTTTCCAGACACGCAATTGGCCAGATGAATATTGGGGGTTTTCCCACATAACTCAGCGGTAGTGTAGACGCAGGTATAGTTTTGTCGACAAAAGTCCACTTTTGTCGACAAAACTCTGTCGTATAGACACACCCCAAATGCAGTTAATGGGTAGCAGGTTTAAAACTAATAAAAGAAAGTTCTTCTTCACACAGGCTGTGTCTAGACTACATGGCTCCATCGATGGAGCCATGTAGGGTTTTCCCACATAACTCAGCGGTAGTGTAGACGCAGGTATAGTTTTGTCGACAAAAGTCCACTTTTGTCGACAAAACTCTGTCGTATAGACACACCCCAAATGCAGTTAATGGGTAGCAGGTTTAAAACTAATAAAAGAAAGTTCTTCTTCACACAGGCTGTGTCTAGACTACATGGCTCCATCGATGGAGCCATGTAGATTAGACAGATAGGCAAAGGCAAATGAAGCTGTGATTTAAATGATCGTGGCTTCATTTAAATTTACATGGCTGCCGCGCTGAGCCGACAAACAGCTGATCAGCTGTTTGTCAGCTCATCAC